TGTGATAACTGTTGGTACCAAGCCTTTATGGGACAGCTTCCCAAATAGTTCAGTGGCAAAATTGAGCTTTTGTGCTTTACACAATCCATCAAGGACACAATTATAGGTTTCAATGCCAAGTTTAGCGCCAGTTCTTTCCAAAATCAGAAAAAGCTCAATTGCCTCTAGGAGGCAATTATTTTTGAAGAACCCATCCAATAATATTCTATAAGTAGCAGAAGCTGCAATCACTTCATGGGCTTTCATTTTTGCAAAAAGTTTCCGCACTTCCTCAACTTTACCTACTTGAAATAGACCGTTTAACAAATTGTTGAAAATAATTAATATCGGCTTGCAGCCTTTGACAATCATTTCCTCAAAAAGGCTCATGGCATCCTCCAATTTGTGACACTTGCAATACCCACTAATTAACACGTTATAGATTACAACACCTAGCTTATGGCCTTCATACTCCATCAAAACAAATAAGTCCCTTGCATCATCAATCCTACCCTCCATGCAGAACGCATTCATCAATATACTAAATGTATAACAATCAGGCTCTTCACCAATCTTAATCATCAAGGTCAACAATCCAGTCGCTTCGGCGGTCTTCCTGTCCTTACAAAGTGCCTGTATCAGCATATTAAACAAAATTAAGTCTGGACGAATGCCTTGATCCACCATTTCAAAGAAGAACCTCTTTGCCTCCTCCCATTCACCGCCTTCACACAAACCATGAATTAAACCACTATACGAAACCAAGTTTGGCAGAATTCCGTTACCCTTCATCTCCAACAATAATTGTTTAACATTCTCCAACAACCCCTCTTTACAAAGGCCTTGAACAAGTGTGTTATAACTAATTATATCAGGCTTAAATCTTAAATAAGACATTCCATTCTCGGCTTCTTTTTGCAAATGAAGAGCTACCTTTGCTTTTCCACTCTTACATAACCCATTAATCAAAATATTCCATATCATAACACTTGGTAGAAACCCCATTTCAATAATTTTAAGGAACAACACAATTGCATAGTCAATCTTATCTTCCATACACAACCCTTTAATCAATGAAGTAAAAGTATTAATATTTGGACTATATCCCCTCTTGAAAATCCCACCCATAACAGCAAAACCAACAGCAGTCATTTTCCAGCTACAGTAACAATTAACCAAAATATTCTGCGTAATAATATCAGTCAATAACTCGGCTTCAACCATCCTATGGTACATAAAAATCGCATCTTGATAATTCTTGGTTTTGGCAGCAGCCCCTAGCAATTTGTTGAATGATGAGATAGGTGAGGAGGGTTGCATTTGGAGCATCTGATAAAAGGAGATTAATGAATCATTAGTGTTGATTTTTTCAAGTGGGATTGGGGTTTGAATTTCTGTTATGTGTTCAGGTTTTGGATGGTTTCTGACTATTGACGAAAGCTTACCTCTTTGGGCAGTTCTGGAAGCAATTTCGGGTGCACACAGAAATGCTCCCTGATTGTGAGGACGGACTAGAAAAAATGATAGAGCTCACTCGGTGATTGTCTTAAATTTTTCCATTCCACGTTTTCTAAATGAGTTCCCAACTTTTGGCGTTATGCACTCTTATTTCTATGACCATTTTTGCACAAATCTTCTCAAGCTTCCATATCAGTAACAAATTCCATCGACTCACTGGTGAACTGTAATGGGGCTGGGCAGTTTTCGGTCCCTGCTGTCTATGAATTTTGAGAAAATTACCTGGAACCCTGCATTTAAGCCCATGTTTGAAACCCATTTTGGGAGAAATAGAAATTTTGGAATAGTGATTGATGTGAGAATGTGTGGTGGAAAAGTGATGAAAAGTTTTTGATTTGTGTGTAATATTATTTTATTAGGAGAATGTGTGGTTGAAATGAAGAATGAGAATGAGAATGAGAAATAGAGAATGTGTGGTTGAAAAGAAGAATGAGAAGGAGAATGAGAATGACAAATAGAAAGAGAAATTAATGGGTGTCAAACGGGGGCTAAGTTTCCAAATTTAAAAATCAGGTGTAATGTTTATTTAATCAAAAATCAGGTGTTAATTCAATTAATAATTAAAATCCTAATTTCCAACGCCGTCCCTCATTCATCTCCATCTCTGAATCGTCCCACCTCTCTCTCTCTCCATACCGACCGACCAATATTCTCTCCCCTCTTTCTTTCTATCCTTGCCGCCACCACCCAACGGCACCATCACCACTGGCACCACCACCGCCTCTCTTCTCCTTCAAATCGTCGAACCACAACGACGATGTCGCAGCTGCAGCGATCCGTGAACGAAGATGATGCGGCTGCAACGATTCGTGAACGATGTCGCATCGTGAGCCTTCACTGGATCCACGGAGAAGTCTTTCTTTAACCCCACTATGTTGCCGCACATCTTGCGCGAGGCTGCAGATCTATGGTCACGAGAGGCCATTTTATCTATGGGCGGAGATGGACAAAGGCCGGAGAAGAAAAGTGATGGTGGTGTGTGACGGAGGCAGGTAGCTGGTGCTGAGATTTGACTGTGGCTGGTGCTGAGATTCGACGTTGCAAATCTCTATCACAGGCGGCCATTTTTATCTCTGGTTTATTTGGTTGTGTTTTCGGTTGTTGGAGGAAGCTATGGTGGTGCTGATTTTAGCGATTGTTGGTGGTGGCGGCGATGGTGGTGATGTTCGTGGTGGTGGTCGTGGTGCGGCATCACGATTTGGGGATTTTTTAGGGGGGTTGGTGGTTGATGGTTGTGACCGTTTGTGACCGGTTTGTGACCGGTTGTGACCGTTTGTGACCTGTTTGTGACCGATTGTGACCTGTTAATTGTGACTTGTTGTAACCAATTGTGACAGATTATGACTTGAAATTCTGGAATTTTTTTTGGAAATTGGAGCAGTCAGAACAGTCGCCGGAGTGATCGCCGGAACAGTCGCCAGAGTGATCGCCAGAACAGTCGTCGGAGTAGATGATCGGAGTAGAAGGGGTAGGGAGAGGATAGAGAATAGAGAATAGAGAGAGAGAAAATGATTTGGATTTGAAATTTAATAAATTGGGATAATTGTATTATATTATAATTAAAAATATTTAATAAATTGATTTAACACCTGATTTTTGAAAAGATTTTGAAGTTTGTTATTTATGAAATGTGATCTTTAAAACAAGGAATTATGTATTGTTCCCATGAATTTTTTCTGCCAAAGGGGGAGAAAAAGTTGTGGACTAAGGAGGTTTGGAGGCCCTTTTATTACTCCAAAACACTCCGTTATTTTATGGTTTGAGTGCCCAAGCAAAAGTACTCACGAATGACAGGCTGCCACAGCCCAACATTGATAGGAATTGTGTTTTTTACGGGTCACATACGGAAAGTGGACAGCATCTGTTTTTTCAATGCTCTTTATTTTCATGCACATTTGCAAAGATTAAAGTTTGGTTGGGGATTAGGATATCGATTACTACGATTTCTAGCGCTTTGAAATGGATCAAGAAAGAGGCCCGAGGTACCTTTTGACAAAGTAAGGCTAAGAAAATCGTACTTATTAGTATCGTGTACCACTTGTAGATGGCGAGAAATAGAAGGATTTTTTGAAGATTTTAGATCGATGGCATTGTTAGACAAATCAAAACACACATATGCAAAGTTATATTTTTTTTGTATGCGAACGTTTTGTTAAGGGAAATATATCCCACGTCGATAAATGATGTTGACACGGACCAATTAATAAAGATCTTGAGCTACTCCTCTTAATAAGGTTGACCTTTTAAGATGGAGCCTCAAATCTTAACATGGTATCAGAGCCCATTATGCTCCAACGAGCGATTCGATCATGTTAAGACTCTAAAATAAACACGTGAATTTCAAGATTGATCTGCTCAAATGAGCCACCATCTTGTGGGGGTGTGTTAAGGGAAATATATCTCACATCGATAAAAAAATGTTGACACAGACCAATTAATAAAGATTTTGAGCTACTCCTCTTAATAAGGTTGACCTTTTAAGATGGAACCCCAAATCTTAACACGTTTTAATTCATTTTAAGTTTTTAATATTGGGTCCTAAAGATCCTTTCGTTCGTACATCTTTTCATTTTGTTAGTCCGAATATGTTCGAAGTACTTGTATATGTTTCTTGATCTTTGTTCTCCTAGAAATACTCGATGTACTTGTACATGTGTTTTGATCAATATAATTTTACATGTATCGATAAAAAAAAAAAAAAA